GTGTGGCCGAGCGCGTGCGGCCGGGCGGGAAGTGCACAGCGAGCATCCCGAGTGAGTGCGCGGGGCCGGGGTGGCGGGAGAGATGGAGGGGGGCGGCGGGCAGAGGCGACGGCCTAGGGGGATCTAGCGGGCCACCGGGGGCACCGAGGCCCGTGTGCCTTCTTCAGGGGAAGAGGAGCCGAACGCTGAAGAGAGGGACCCCCAAGTGCTGGAGGGGCCGAGGGAGGGGAGCTTGGCTTGCCTGAAGGTTGAGCGCGGCCTGCACCCCGGGAGTTGTGTTGGGGGTGTGTGTGAGCGCAGCTCAAAGATTTGGGTCCGCACGAGGCTTTCTCCGTGGCCTGCCAGGGGCCCCCTTTCCCAGCTCCAGCGCCCCTCACCCTTCTGAGGCCTCGACCTCTTCTTCCGGGCAGCTTTGGGATGTAGTTGCGTGTCGTCTCCCACCCCCACTCGCCTGTTGCTCAGAAGCCGATGGGCCTCCTCGGCGCCCACACTTCCGAGGTCCCCCTTTTCCCGCTGCCATCCCCCCAGGCTTGGGCCAGTCCAGCCGAAGGCCGTCAGGCTGGCGGTGGAAACGTTGCCTCTGAATTTAGCCTCGGTCTCTAGAATTTTCTTTTACTAGAACATTTGGAGTGTTCGCTCTGGAGCCCTGCCCCCTACCGGGCCTCCTCCCCGCGCCCCTGGAGCGCCGGCCAGAGCTGCCCCGAACTGTTACTGTATCTATTTAGACTGTTAGTGCGCGCGGCTTTCCCGCCGGAGGCTACTGCCGACGGGGACTCTGCCGATGAAGACCAAGGGACGGGGTGTGCGCAGGCCGCTTTCATGGCCCAGCCAGCTGCTGTACCCCGGCCCGGCCGTCCCCCCCTCCCGGCTCTACCGCACCCCCAGCTTGGCCGTACCCCGGCCCCTATCGTACCCCCAACCCTGTCATTCCATCCCCCGAGTCCTGCCATCTCACCTCCTCTGCCCTGCCGTCCCCCACGGCCCCTGCCGTTCCACCCAAACCTGTCGTTCCATCCCCCTGGCCCCTGCCATCCCCCGAAGTACCATTTCTACAATATTTTACTTTTTTCTAAGATGCCACGTGCTTTTTCTGGAAATGACAATATAAGGCTTCTCTCACTTAAACACAACAAACACTGCCGAATCCCCTGCTGGTCTCCCTTCTGGCTTTTTATAGAAAGGAGAGAAGATGGGAACCAAAGCAGAGAGATGGTGCCCCCACCAAGCGAGAGTGGGAAAGACAGAAACACGTGTGTGCCTACCCATGCAAACAGGCTGGCACGACATCACAGGAAACCACCTTTCCTGGCACAGCACTCTCCCTCGGAGCTGGGTCACCCCGGCTCCGTGGGTCATGGAACCTGAAACCCAAAGTCTCACCTGGGACTGGCTGTGGCCCGCACACGTATAGTGTGTGTAAACACAGTTTACATATTCCTAGTGTCATGGGAAGAGTTTTGCTGTCTGCTTCTGTTTACCCAGATTATTCCGGTTCAGCTGATGAGACAGACATCCTGAAGCAATCACTAGGAAAGGCTTTGGCACCATGAGTCATCCCTGTGTGTCCCTTTTGGGTAAGTCTGTGGATTTGCAGCGCCTCTGCTGCTCTCAAGATTGCCAGGCTCTTCCATCCCTGAGTAGGGTGCAAGGAACAGAACATGGGGGAAAAGAGGTACCCAGTTAGGAGAAAGGCAACCTGGTAATCATAGAGCTAGGGGGAAGGGGCTGAAGGTGCCCATCTCATGTACATGGCGAGGGGCAAGATCTCTTGAGAACAATCCTGTGAAGAGAGGCTCCAGGTATGTGTGCCGTAGCCCAGAACTGAACTGTGCACCTACAAATTATTCCGGGTGAACTAGGGCCTTGAGGGTCCTCATTCAGATGGCAGAGAGGCCAAGTGTTTTCAGGGACCCTTTGGAGAGCCTCATTTGGTCCCAACCTCTTCCTCACCTCTGCCATTCTCTAATGAAAGTTTTAGATAGTAAATTTGATTTAAGTAAGTTGCTAAAAAATTTAACTTGTAGTCTAAAGTGTCAGCATCTAACAGGAAGAGATTCAGATGCCCTCTCAATTTCCACGTCATCGCTTACTTGCCAGCTAGCCCAGCAGTGCGTTTGCCCCAAGTCCCATGACGTGTACCACGGGGCTCTGGCCAGTGTGCACATCACCGTGCAGTGTGAGGGCCTTTGCTCTCTTGAAGTCCATAGTTCAGACGCACTTCAGAGATCGTTTCTTTCCAGAGCTTAAGATCTCAGGGTCTACTTGCGCTCCTGTTTCTCCCAGCTGAACAGAGGGACTCTTGACAGGGCATGTGCTTCTCTCTAGCTGATGAAAGCACGCCACATTCAAGGACAGTATTTTCCTCTGTCCATCAAGTGCACATCACTGGCTTTTATGCTCTGGAAGACAGTGGGTACGTCTCTCCCAGTATGCATCTTCCCTGTATCAGCTGCCCATGGTAAGCGCAGCAGTTGGTATGTGGGCTTGACCATTTTACCAGATCTAGGATGAGTGAGCGAAATGTTTTTTGGGGTTTTTTTTGTTTTTTTTTTTTGAGCGAAATGTTTTTAACTGCACTTGGATGTAGTGCATAGTACCTTTTTCTATCACTTCCTTCGTTCTCGACAGTACCTTTAACCTATGTCCTCGGGTTAGCACAACCCCCCTCCAAACTAGGCCACTTACTGTCTCCCCTCACAATGAGGAATTATGTATTCTTTCTGTTTTCACTGCTGTGTGCTCAACAGCCCCACAGATGAACACATTACTTCATATTTTGGCTCTTTACTTCCTTCTCTGTGAAATGTAATTAGTCAGAACTGTTAACTCATGGCTAAGAAGTGAATTCCAGCTCACTGTGACCCTGCAGGGCAAAGAGGAACTGCCTTAGGGTTTCCAAGATTGAGACGGCCTCGGCCTTCTCCCTGGGAATGACTGGTGTTTAAACCACCAGCCTTTGTGTGAGCAGTACGAGCTCAACCATTGTGTGCTGATTCTGTTTCTTGGTGGCGGAAAAGCACCCAGGGGAGGTGCTTGATTCAAGTGCATGCGAGCCAACTCCCTGTTGTCCACTTGTGGCCCGGAGCTACCCTCGACACTGGGAATTGGAGGTGACCAAGAAAGAGAAGAGCTCTCTCTTAGGGGACTGATCTTCTGGAGATTTGGGGAAACAAGCATCTTCAGGGAATCATTTCTAGAAGCAAAGAGTGCGGGATGCCAGATCCAACGTAGAGTGGATCTTTCCAGGAGTTGTGTTTAGGACAAGTTCAAGGCCAGTGGCACCAAGGTGCCAGGTCTGGGATAGGAGATGGATGGGTAGGCCTGGCCCAGGGTCTTGTAGATGAATTAAGACTTTAGGTTTTTGAAATCAGTGAAAAAAAGAGAGGTTGGTACACGGTGTCACATTTCTCTGGATGGTAGTGAAGTGTTTTTCCCCCCCAATTTTACTAATTAACCAAACATTAATGTCAGTTGGAAGTCCGTTTTTAAAGAGATGAATTATATACATAATGCACAACAAGTTCTTTTTTAAAAAAGTAGAAATCACCATCAAATCATATTATCAGGTATCTGTTAGTTGGGAGAATGCAACTGGCCCAAGAGAAGCCCTGCCCAGAAGAGTGACTGCTGGGTGCCTGGGCTGGATAGCTCACCCATTGGAGAGGTATTAGTGTGTTTCAGTGAACCAGCCAGCCAAAGATGGCAGTGGAGGCACAGCCGAACTGTGGGGCCTGAGGTGTTCTGTTCTGGCCCTGCCCTCCTGCAGTCTAGCCACTTGGGGAGAGGAGCCAGGAAGTCCCAGCCCCGTCTTTGTGCTGTCACTCAGTGCTTGCTTTCCACTTGGCTCCTGACTTGACCCAACCATGGTTCATCCACCCAACATTTCCCAGCTCCAGGGCGCCTTCTCCAATCCCTCCTGGGCTTCAACTCTTGTCTGCTTCACACTGAAACCCACCAAAATCCTTTCACATCTTCTGTGCAGGATCCACCATTTTATAATCTGTTGGATGCCACCCTCCAGAACCCTGACCCACATTTATCACCGACTTATTTTGTATGACATTGACGTTATTTGAATGTTCTTTTCTATCCTTTTACTTTTAGCTTGTTGTTGTTAAGTGCCATCGAGTCACAGGTGACTCATAGCGACCCTATGAAGGAGAGTCCTCAACGCTTGGGTGCCTTTCATCCTCTCCCCAGGTTCATAGGGTTTCCGGAGGCAAGCTATTACGGAAGGGGATGCCACTCCTGCTTCTAATCTTGTTTTAATCAGGGAGCTCCACCCCACTCTCTGTCCGCATTGGGTAGCCAACCATTAACGCATTTGACACATCAGTGTCACAGTGTTCAGCCTCACAGCAACCCCAAGTGACTTTTAGCTTATGTCTTTATAATAAAATTGCTTCTAGACAACATAGACATGAGTCTATTATCTTTTTGATACAGGCTAGCAGTCTGTATCTTTTAGTTGGAATGTTTAGTGCATTTGTGTTAAATTTAATGTATATTATACATTATTATATGTAGAATTTAAGTGTCGGATTGCTATTTCTATTCTACTTGTCCCTTCTCATATTTTCCTCTACTTCTTATAAATTAGTATTTAAAAAAATCCTGCTTTATTTCCACTCACCTCCATTAATGGATAATTGGAGCACTGGTGATAAAAGGAGTTGTACAATTAACCAGAGGTCATGCCTCTTTGGTGGTTCAAATCCACCAGCAACTCTGAGGGAGAAAGATTAACAATCTCCTCCTGTGTAATTTATAGTTTCCAAAACCCAGTGGGAGGTCGGCTAGGAGTTGATTCCAACTTTATAGCAATGAGAAACTGGGTTTTAAGGAGCCCAGGGATGTAGTGCAGGCAGGTCCAGCTATTGGGACACACCAGGCACACTGAGGGGGAAAGATGGGCAGTTGCCAGACTCCACCTAAGGAATTTCTGCCTTGGGGGGTCTGGGATGCGTCCTGGATGGAAAAACCTAACAGCAATACTTAGTCCCACCCAAGTTTTCATCTGATTTCAGTTTGCTTCCATTTGAAGAACTCCATATTTCTTAGCATTTGCAGATCTTCTGGTGATGACTTATCCCAGTTTTTGTATGTCTGTAGAATGGTTTATTTTGCCTTCATTGTTAAGAGTGTTTTTCTTTGTTAAGAGTGTTTTTCTTGAGTATAGAATTAGTGGTTGATTAAAATTTCTTTTCTTTTAGCCCTTTCAAAGTGTTAGTTATGTAGTTAGTTCAATTTCTAAGAAGTAGCTTATTAATTTTTATTTCACTCTGTGGTAACTAGTTTAAAATCTCTGGCTGCCTTAAGTGTTTTAATTGTGGGGCTGGTTTGGGGTTTGGGATTTTTTTAAGGTTCCCTTTAAGATTTTTTTAAATCTTTGGTTTCAGCAGTTGGATTATGATGTGTTGAGTGTAGGAGTCTGTGTATGAGTGTGTGTTTTCATCTTGCTAAGAGTTGTTTGGGATTTTTAAATTTTGAGTTCGTAGTTTAGATCTCATTTGGAAAAAAAGTCAATCACTGTTTTTCAGTGTTTCTTTTTCTTTATCCTTTCTTGCATCCGGTCTGTCTCAGGTTCCACCTGTTTGCATGTAAGAACATTTTGTGTCCCCCTCTAGGTCTCTAACATGTAGGTCTCCTCCTCTAGATGTGTTTTCTCCTATACTCCTTCTTGGCATTCCAGTCCTTTTTGCTGGAGAGTTGGACATCGTGAATGTTAGTTTTCTGCATGTTGGATTGTTGGGTTTCCTTCAGAAGCAAGTTGGACTTCGTTCTCAGAGGCAGTTCTCTGTGGCCTAACTGAATCCTTTGAGGCCTGCTTTTGCACTTCTCTAGCATGTGCTTTGTAATGTTGACTCAGACTTCCAAAGGCCTGACTTCTGCGGGTTCTGTCCCCAGTGCTCTAAGAGTTACCAAGAACTCTGCTCCAGGTGTATAGACTTTTACCACCTCACACACCTTAGTCCTGGGAATCGTTTAGCCCTTTTAGGGTTTCTCTCTTTACATGTATGACTTACTAGTCAGGTAAAGGGGTGCCTAGTGCAGACTTTGCAATTTTATGGCCATCCCACACCACACACAGTACCCTCCTCTCTGGAGCTCTGCCTGAGTGTGGGCCCCTCGCTGGCAGAGAGCTGAGGGGACTACAGGGCCCTTTTCTCATGAATCCATTATGTTCTGCTTGCATATAGATCCACCATGGCCAGATGCCAAAGTCTCCATCCATTTACAGCATAGCATTTTTAATCTCATGGAAAGATCTTTCTAGAATATCTGGGTTTTATAGTCCTTGAACTGAATGAAAATGCAGTCTTTTCATTTAGACATTGAGGTGAACTGGCCTCAGGATAGTAGCCCTGTGTTCTTGTTCCTTTGAGCTTGCCAGGAGTGGGAGGCCTGTGGTACATACATGCTACTAATGGGATCTTGTGATATATCACCTATTTTGCAGTCTGGATGGAATATGTACATAGTTTGAGTTCTTTTATTTAGCTACTGAGTTTTGAAGGTCTTTTGTTTGAAGCTTCTTTTCCCCATTCTTCAAAGAACTCTTAGCTCTTTGAAGAATGGTCACTTTTCCTTACATGGTATGTAAAGCACATGCCCTTGGCCAGGAGTCTTAGCAGTATGCAGCCCTGAGCACTGTCTCCTGTTTCTTTCTTCTGCAGGGGCCTGGCTGGCTGCATGTCATCTCTTCCATGTCCAGATGGCACTCTGGTTTCCTAGTCATTTCTTTGGCTATTTGTTTGGGGGCACTTCCTTCCTGTGAGGTGGGGGCATTGACCACCCAGCTGCATCTGCCTTGTCCCCCCTGCAGCCTACCTTTCAGTACTCTGCTCACCCACTTTTCCTGGCATTTGAGAAATGTTGTCTTGGGCATCCTCGTGCTCTTGCTAGTCACTCAGCTGCCACTCACTCAAGGGAAGACTCATTAAGATTTAGAAGTAGGGAGAGGGAAAGCCCTGGTCTTATTGCGGGGGACAATGGAGCTGCTGTCACTAACAGCTTTTTGCTCTCTTTAGCGTCACCTGCTCCTCAAGGTCTTGCCCTTTCCCAGGATGGAGCCCCAGGAGATCAGGCCCTGGCAGTTCCTCTTGAGATGCTAGAAGCCCAGGTGAGTTTGCTCTGAGCCCAGCCTGACAGGTGATAGTCCCTAGGCTTGTCCCTGCTGCTTAGGACCCAGGGAAGACGTGCTGCAGGGTCCTCTGGTGCTCATTGGGGCTTGCTTTCTGTGCCACCTTGAGGTTTGTGGTTGAAGATCTGTGCTTGCCATGCGCACTCACTGTTCTTGGCACTGCCCTCACCTCTTGCTAGAATAGATGAAGGAACTGAGTATTTCTTGGGACTCTTTCAGGATCCAGTGACACTTGACAGTGTGGAGCCGTACCTCACAAAAAGGGAGTGGCTGGGGCTTGACTCTGAGCCAAGGACACTGGACTATTTTGGGAATGTGACCTCCGTGGGTAAGAGGTGGCCTTCCACCACATTCAACACTTGACTTTTTGGTCCCAGGCCCTGGGCACAGGATGAGGAGTGCCTGCCCATTGGGCCCCACAGAAGGCCTGGGCACCCGAGTGCAAGTTTTTAGGTAGATGCAGGGGCCTGCCCACACCTAAGACTTTTCAACTCTGGAGGGCACGGCAAGAGGCTCTCGTCTTCTGTTGGGACAGACATGAATTCTTTGCTTTTTAGAATAGTTTATTTAGAAACCCAGGAATTGTATTGACAGCTCAACATTTGTCCCAGGTCTGTACTGTAGGGTGGTACCCATAGGAGCCTTACTGGAGTAGGATTTGGGAGTTGTGGTGGTCCCCAGTCTGGGAAGGACATGGAGCAGTGGTGTCATGTGGCAGCTGCCGTATATCTATTTCTCCATACTCAGGAGTTCCAGATTTGAATCCTGCCTTGGTCCCTCCCCAAGTGCAAGGACAAGTCCTGCTGGTCTCAGATCCGTCACTCATTGCAGGCCACGGTAAGCATTCCAGTGAGTGAAGAAAAATCAAGGGAGACTGGGGAAGTTGGGGTGGCCCAGTTGAGCCACTGGAGGTGTGTAGGTCTTAGGATGGGCGAGGACTGCCCTTCCATCCCAGAAAGAGTGTTCTCTGCTCCTGGCCAGATGGGCACTTGAGGATGAAAGGCCGCTGCCGTCACGGGGCCTTTCTTCACCTACAGATCTGCTCTCATTTCAGAAAACATCTCGGTGACCCAGAACCAGACCGTGGGGGAGGACGCTCAGTCCCACGAAATGGAGCCGACCAGCTCCTCCAGGGCCGGTGCCACCAGCCCTGAGGTCAGACAGGACGGGGCTGCGTCGGGGAGGTTAGGGAGTCCCCAGGATCTACCTGTAGAGCACCATTTTGCATGTAAAGAGTGTGGGGACACATTTCGGCTGAAAGTCCTCCTTGTCCAGCACCAGAGAATCCACAGTGAGGAGACGGGGTGGGAGTGTCGCGACTGCTCGCGGGTTTTCAGGGGCATGTCAGAGTTCAGAGAGCATCGGAAAAGCCACGTGGCCGTGCAGCCGGGCCCCCGTCCAGGTCCCGGTCCCGGTCCTGCTTCTGCTCCCAGCCGGGCCCCCGAGGACATGGAGGTGAAGAGCAAGCAGCTGGAGAAGGAGGAGAAGCCTTTCGAGTGCGAGGAGTGTGGGAAGCGCTTCAAGAAGAACGCGGGCCTCAGCCAGCACCTGCGGGTGCACAGCCGCTCGCGGCCTCTGCGCTGCGCCGAGTGCGGGCGCGCCTTCAAGGCCACCTCGCGCCTCTTCCGCCACCCGAAGCTGCGCAGCGGCGAGGAGAAGCCACTCGCCTGCCGGGCCTGCAGCTCCCGCTTGGCGGAGCGCCCCGAGGGCCTGAAGCAGCCTAGCGCACCCGCGCCTCAACTGCCCTTCGACTGCGAGGACTGCGGCAAGTCCTTCCGCGGGGTCGCTGGCCTGGCCGAGCACCAGCGCATCCACAGTGGGGCCAAGCCCTATGGCTGCTCACACTGCGGCAAGCAGTTCCGCCGCAGCTCCGAGCTCACCAAGCACCGACGCATCCACACCGGGGAGAAGCCCTATGCCTGCGGCCAGTGCGGCAAGACCTTCCGCCAGAGCTCCAGCCTCCTGGAGCACCAGCGCATCCACACCGGCGAGCGGCCCTATGCCTGCAGCGACTGTGGCAAGGCCTTCCGGGGGCCCTCCGACCTCATCAAGCACCGACGCATCCACAGCGGACTCAAGCCCTACGAGTGTGACCGCTGCGGCAAGGCTTTCCGCCGCAGCTCGGGCCTGAGCCGCCACCGGCGCACCCACAGCGGGGCCCGGCGCTGTGAGTGCCCCGAGTGCGGCCGCGTGTTCAAGCGGCGCTCAGCTCTGCAGAAGCATCAGCCTGTGCACCACCAGTAGAGCACGGCAGCCACAGGAGACGAACTGTTTTGTGATGTTTATCTATTTTCTTGTTCGAAAGGTTGAAACCAGTTTCTACTGCCACCAGCAATTTCTACTTGTCCATGTGTCCCGTGAGGCTCACGCAGAGTAGTGGAGGTCAGGTTCCGTCTTGTGGCTGCCTCCCAGTGCTGCGACCCACCTGATGCTGGGGGAGCTCCAAATCACCGAGGCTGCCCTGCTGAGAGGTGACCTGGAGGGGTGGAAGGCACCGCTTAAGCAGAAGGCACCCTCAGTGACCAGGATCCTGTTGTTTCCCAAAGACAAGTCTGCCCTGCCTTTTTTGGCCTACTTGAATCTTCATTTTAAGGGATGTAAATACAAAAGTCAAGTGTCTTATACTATTTAATTTATTCCTTTAGTTACCCATGCCTCATAGAAATCATTTGTGATACAGAATAATATATTTGTTGAGCACTCTGCCCCTTACGTCCTCTCTAGTGCCTCCTTGTTTAGTTTTGGCCTCACTGGCTTCCCTTCTGCCCAGGTGCACTCCTGCACCCCTGACATTCCCTCCTGCACCCCAGCGTTCCCTGGGTCAGGTCCCACCCTCTGGACGTCCTGCCTCAGGGCTCTGGACAGCCTCCCCAGGCATCAGAAGGTGTTTGCTGAGCATTAGGTGGCTGTGTTCCTGTGTTTTACAATGTGACCCATACGAGGCATTTGGTACTGATTTTCCTGTTGAGGTCACATTCCAAATTCTTTGTTTCTGTTCATGAAGCCCTGATGACCCTCATACAGATCCCAAACCAGCTTTGGTTGATGTTAAGGGCAAGACTTTCTGGTTCAGTAAGATCCCAGGAGGCACCTTTTCCCGCCAGGGTTAGGCTTTGCCTGGATGTTCTCTGCCTCACACTTCTGCACATAGTGGTCACAGCACCTCTCTACGCATCGTCCCTGGAAGTGGTCACCAGGGCAGCTAGGAACTGTCCTGTGGCTCCGCTCCCTGGCACCTGGCCCTACCCTGAGTTCCAGAACCTGATGCCTCGTCTCTTCTAACCTCAGCCTCAGCCTCTGCAGGATTTCCTGTTGTTGCATGTGAAAGTTGTTTATTCGTCTCCTTTGACTAGTAACCAAGTTTTTTCTGCATATATTGACTTTCTAGAGAGAGCTTTTCTTTAAATATCAATTATGGTGGTTCTTTTTCCCCAGGTTTATAGCTTTGATGTTTATAACAGTTTACATTTGTTTGAGCTTTTGATGTGAGTGAATTCACACACTCCTCTCGCTGGTTACATCATAACTGGAGTCACTTCATTGCTGCAGTCAGGATGCTATTTCCTTCTGGAGTTTTAATTACAAACTCAGAAGTTGAAAGTCCTTCTCCTCCCCTCCCAGGGGAAGCTGCTGAGTTGGGAGGCAGTCTGCCAGGACAGAGCAAACTAGAGGGGAATGGACCAGAGAAGGAACATGCAGAGCCCATGGACATTGTAGGAAGTAATCGTTCATCCTGAAAACTCCGATTCTAGAGATGCTTCCGCCATGGACTGGCCCAAATGGTCTTGGACCTTTGTCAGTCACTAGCAACCAGTGACAGAGCCTGATCTCTACTGGGCCAGTGGGATCAAAGCTTCATCTTGCTAGACCTACCGGACAGTGCGTGGTGAGCCAGCATTCAGTGGCTTGTCCAGCCAGGGGCCACCCGAGAGGCCCCTGAAAACACAAGAAGATTGACACGGACACATGGACTGTCCCCTCCTAACAAGTGACTTGAAAACTAGAGAGAGGTCAATTTGATGGGTTTTGCATTGGGAAACCGGGGCGCCTTACCCCATGTCTAGGTGTAATTTGCTTAAGAGGAGCCATGCCTGCCGCTGTGCTCACCTCTGGCCTGGGAAGTGGGCCTGGAAGGAGCGCACAGGCTTCCTGGAGGCATGTTGTGGCTGACTTCCTTTGCACTCGCTACCTGTCTCTCCTTTGGCTTTGGCCTCTGGTTATCTTAATTCATTTTGAATCTGTCTGGAGTCACTCCTGCAGTTCATTTCCAAGCTGTATGTTTTGAACAACTGTCGTGAGAAATGTGCCATCCACCGGGGATGGGGCCAGCACCAAGGGCTGGCACCAGTATCCTTTTTGAGAAGCTCCCTGCCCTCTTGCCCTCACTGGTGGCCCAACTTGGGCAAGGCTCTTGCAGAGGTGTAGGCCTGGCTTGGCCTTGCCTGAGTGCACCCCAGCCATGAGGTGAGGTTTGGCGGCCCTTACTACCACCACTGCTTGATTGCATTGGAGCTCTTGTATCTTTTTTTTGCTTACTTTTTTAAAAAAAATTCTTAGAGTTAACACTAATGTCCATGGCTTTTCCATCACTGTCGATGGAATGGCTCCTGTGTCTGGCAGCGAAGCCTGCTGTTCAGAGCAGCCCTGCTTGCTCTTTTGTGTCTTGAGTTCCTAGGGGTTGGTTTGGCCTCTGTAGTGGGAGTGGATCCTGGAGACGCGTGTATGGAATGTGCCACGACTTTCTCGTGTGCTTGGCTATGCATTGTGTGTCTACCTCATTTCTTCCACCTGATCACATGGGCCCCTGGGGACGCCTAGGGCACAGGATGCTGGCTCCTGTCTAAAGTAGGTCTTTCACTTAACCATTATTAAGAGGGAAATGCTCCATTGCATTTGTTAGTGTTTTAAATACTTGTGGACAATTTTAAAAGAAACTATATGTTTACCATTTTTGCTGCTTACTTGAGATTAACTACGTTGATTAGTTGTGTTATACCGTTACTGCATTTCTAGGAAAATCCTCACCCAACTGCAGTGGCATCCTCTGCCATGCTATTGTGTTCCGTTTACTTGGTTTCCTCCTCTGGGCAGTGTGGCACCTGTCCACGCGCAGCCCTATGGCCATGTTGTATATCATGTGGCCTCCCCCTCCCCTCCCCTCCAAGCCACATTAACCAGAACCAAACTCCCAACCTAAGGTTAGTAGCCTTGTCTTCAGACTTGACTGGGAGCAAAGGCTGGTCCTGCAAAGGCTCTGAAGAGTCAACAAGGAGCCCCAGAGTAAAAGCTCCCATTGGTGTTAAAGGGACTCGCCTCATGGGACCACTGCCCAGCATTGTTCCCTGGGACTGAGCGTTGCCTGTGTCTGCATCTCACCTTGTGGTGAGGAATGCCCACTTACCAGGACAGGTCTTTGCCTTCCAGGCTTTTTTGTACGGTGCTGATCCTGTATTTGAACTCCCCACGACCAGAGGTGTACCCCCCAGCACTGCTTCGGAAGTGCTGGTGGGTCTGCCGCATCTGGCAGCAGTGAACACTTGTTCTCATCATGGCGCACATGTTTGGGCGCCTGTTTGAGATTGCTCTCGGTCCCTTCTTGACCTTGTCAACTTGTCTGTTCTGTGGCACTCAATATACTCAGCCTTGCACTAGTGCTGTTGTGGGCTTGGCTCCCCCCCAAGACTGTGAGCTCTTAGAAGACAGGGTGGCCCTCGGCAGCTACTCTGCTTCGGATCTAGCGCAGTGCCTTGCATCACATAGTTCAATAAATACCTGTTAATGACCTTTCGGTGTGGCTGATTTCTTCCCACTGGGCTGAAAGGCTCTTCCCGTGTGACCACAGCCGTGGCTCGCATTTCCTATACCCTGGATTACCAAGCCACCTCTTCCAAGCTGCCCTCCTGGCTGATCCAGTGCTCAACATTCACCTGCAGCTCAGCCGTACCTCTATTAGGGGACACTCTGTTGCGGGGCCTGCCGGCCTTCATCTGAATGTCCTAGAGCAGAAGAGTAGGCCCAGGACACGGTGTTGGCAGTAGGCGAGTGTCAAGCGGAGCGAGTGTTAAGTTTCCTAGCACATCAGCACAGACAAGTACTCAGTAGCCAAGCAGTTGAGTCGCCATGCGTAGTCCCCCCCCCCCCCAGGAGGCACGGGAGTCCAGAAAGGGCCCCTCAGCCTCGCTGGCTTTTGCTCAGCCTTGCCTCGTCCCAAGCTCCTACTTGTTAAGTGTGCAGTGCTGGAAGCTCCTGCTGCTGTCACCATGTTTGCTTCCCTTGTTCAGTGATGCCAAGTCACCTCGTCCCTTAAGCCATTGCTTTTGCAGGCTTTGTCCTCAGAGTAGGGCCATCTGGGCCTTTTCTCCAAGTCCTTGCCATGCTGTGCCTTCCTGAGCCCCCTGTACCTTCTCCACATCCTGCAGGGACTGGCTTGGCTTACCGGATATGTACTGTGCATTATGTCCTATGGGTTTGGAAGCTCTGGTGGAATAGTGTGAATCCACCAGCCACTCTGTGGGAGAAAAATGGGGAACCTTGTCTTATAAATATTTACAACCTCAGGAAGGCTTCTGGGAGCCACAGTTGACCCTACTAGACTAAGGGTATGCCAGGCCTCGTGGAGACTGCCAGCAAGACAGGACCTTCCTAGACTAAGAGCTAGGTTTCCTTCAAGCCATCTGCTTACCTTAGAGCAGTGGTAGCTGACCTTCCCCCCACCCTCCCCATCTGCTGGAAAGCACAAAAGAGCCCCTCCTTTGTTGAGAAGATCATGAGAAGCCTTCAGTCCCGGCACTCTGACCCACACTAACCTGGAAGGGGGAGCATGCTTGGGCCTGGAGAGGACAGTGCAGAGTGAGGGGCACAGCTCTGCTGCTGTTGGGAGGGAGGAGGCCTCAAAGGCCGGCTCATTTGTTCTCACTTAAAACTTGACCGTTGGGACCAGTTTGGCCTCTGGTGAGAATTTGCCGTTCCATCCCCAGATTTGCTACATTTGAATCTGCAACTTACCAAGGTCCTCAGCTTGTGGGTTTTGTGTAGTGTCCAGTGTGAATGGACCCAAGTTTTCAGAAGCAGTAAATTCCTCGGGAGGTGGCTTCAAGCCATGTGTCTTTGGGTTGGCAGTACACTCCTTATCACTAGGCCAGCCAAGCTTGCCAGCTGAGTCTTGTGTGCTGTTGAATCAGGACTGACCCCTAGCTGACTCTCCAGCTAGTTTTCAGAAGCAGTAAATAGCACAGGAGATTGTC